GGCGCCTGTAGTCCCAGCTACTCGGGAGGCTGAGGTAGGAGAATGGCGTGAACCCAGGAGGCGGAGCTTGCAGTGAGCTGAGATCCGGCCACTGCACTCCAGCCTGGGCGACAGAGCGAGACTCCGTCTCAAAAAAAAAAAAAACACCACTAAAACGTAGAAGAATCTCTCTTCATCCAGGACCATACCGTGCATGGCAGGATGGCTTTGCTCTCTCCCTTTAAGGACACTGTCACATTCACAGTGAGATCAAAGCCCCCACAAACAAGCTTCCAAAATGACCCTAGGGGGCAGTGCTACCCCACTGAAAGAAAGAAAAAAGAAAATATAGGAGTAAATCCTCATGACCTTGGATTTGGCAACAGTTTCTTAGATGTGTGTGGGGTTTGTTTCTTTGGTTTTGTTTTTTTTGGTGGAGTCTCGCTCTGTCTGCCTCCCAGGTTCACACCATTCTCCTGCCTCAGCCTCCCAAGTAGCTGGGACTACAGGCACCTGCCACCACACCTGGCTAATTTGTTGTATTTTTAGTAGAGATGGGGTTTCACCGTGTTAGCTAGGATGGTCTTGATCTCCTGACCTCGTGATCCGTCTGCCTTGGCCTCCCAAAGTGCTGGGATTACAGGTGTGAGCCACTGTGCCTGGCCCCTCTTTGTTTTTTAAGAGATAGGGTCTTTCTCTGTGCCCAGGTTGGGGTGCATTGGTATGGTCATAGCTCATTGCAGCCTCGAATTCCTGGGCCCAAGTGATCCTTCCACTTCAGCCTCCTGAGTAACTGGGAGTACAGGTATGCAGCACAACACCCAGCTTATTTAATTTAATTTAATTTTATTTTATTTAATTTTATTTTTTGAGACAGGGTTTCATTCCTGTCACCCAGGCTGGAGTGCAATGGTTCAATCTCAGCTCAAAGCAAGCTCCACCTTTCAGGCTCAAGCAATTCTCCTGCCTCAGCCTCTTAAGTAGCTGGGACTACAGGCATACCTTGCCTGGATAATAATAATAATTATTATTATTTTATTTTTTGGTAGAGACAGGTTTTTGCCATGTTGCCCAGACTGGTCTTAAACTCCTGGCCCAAGTTGTCCTCTTGCCTCCCAGAATGCTGGGATTATAGGTGGGAGCCACCACATCCAGCCTCATTTTATAATTTTTTAAATGTTTTACAGAGATGGAACCTTGCTATGTTGCTCATGCTGGTCTCGAACTCCTGGTCTCAAGCAAACCTCCCACCTTGGCCTCCCAAAGTGCTGGGATTACAGGCATGAGCCACTGCACCTGGCTCCCACTTAGGTATGTTACCAGAAGCACAAGCAACCAAACAAAAAATAGATAAATTGGACTTCATCACAATAAGTGTCTTTCTGTACCAAAAGACAATATCAAAAAAGTAAAAAGACAATACAGAATGGGAGAAAATATTTGCAAATCATGTATCTTATAAAGGACTTCTGTCTAGAATATATGAAGAAATCTCACAACTCAAAAAGACTTCAGATCTCTGGCTCTTCAATAAAAAAAGACAAACAATCCCATTTAAAAATGGGCAAAGATCTGAGTAGACATTTCTCAAAGAACTATACGTACGGTCAATAAGGACATGGAAAGATGCTCAGCATCGTTAGTCACCAGGGACATGCAAATCAAAACCACAATGAGATACCACTTTACACTCACTAGAAAGGCGATAATGAAACCCAAACCAGCCAACCAAAACAAAACAAAACAAAACAAAAAAACAGAAAAGAGGCTGGGCACGGTGGCTCATGCCTGTAATCCCAGCACTCTGGGAGGCCGAGGACGATGGATCATCTAAGTTTAGGAGTTGGAGACCAGCCTGGCCAACATGGCGAAATCCCATCTCCATAAAAAATACAAAAATTAGCCGGGTGTGGTGGTGGGCGCCTGTAATCCCAGCTACTTGGGAGGCTGAGGCAAGAGAGTAGCTTGAACCCGGGAGCAGAGGCTGCAGTGAGCAGAGATTGTGCCACTGCACTCCGGCCTGGCGACACAGCAAGACTTCATCTGAAAAAACAAAAAACAAGAATTAGCCGGGTGTAGTGGCGCATGCCTGTAATCCCAGCTACTTGGGAGGCTAAGGTGGGAGAATCACTTGAACTCGGGAGACTGAGGTTGCAGTGAGCCAAGATAACACCACTGCACTCCAGCCTGGGCAACAGAGCAGACTGTCTCAAAAAGAAAAAAAAAAAAAAAGGGCAGGGGAATCGCTTGAACCGGGGAGGCGGAGGTTGCAGTGGAAAAAAAATGGAAAAGAGCAAGTATTGGTGGGGACATGGATAAATTAGAGTCCTCCTACACTGCCAGTGGAATGTAAAATTGCAGTCACTTTGGGAAACAGTAGGGTAGTTCCTCAAAGGATCAAACAAAATTACCATCGACCCAGCAATTCCACTCCTTGATATTATCCAAGAGAAATGGAAAACATGTGTCCACACAAAAACTTTATACGAACATTTGTAGCAGCATGATTCATAGTAAGTCAAAAAATTGAAACCCAAATATCCATCAACTAACAAATGGATAAATAAAACACTGTGGCTGGGTGTGGTGGCTCATGAATAATAATCCCAGCTCTTTGGGAGGCTGAGGCAGGTGGATTGCTTGAGGCCAGTAGTTCCAGTCCAGCCTCAGCAACATAGCAAGACCTCGTCTCTACAGAAAACATTTAAAAATTAGCCAGGCAGGGCCGGGCGCAGTGGCTCACACTTGTAATCCTGGCACTTTGGGAGGTCAAAGTGGGTGGATCACTTGAGCTCTGGAGTACAAGACCAGCTTGGACAACATGGTGAAACCCCATCTCTACCAAAAATATAAAAATTAGCCAGGTATGGTGGTGCGTGCCTGCAGTCTTAGATACTCTCAGGAGACTGAGGCAGGAGGATCCCTTGAGCCCAGGAGGTTGAGGCTGCAGTGAGCCATGATCATGCCACTGTACTCCAGCCTGGGTGACAGAGCAAGACTCTTGGCCTCCAAGAAAACAAAAACAAAAACAAAAACAAGGCCTCCAGTGTACACTACGGTTTGAGAAACATGGGTATAATACAATGCAAAGGTGAGAGGCAGGAGTCATATCATAGCATGATCAGAGCTGATGTTTATTGGGTGTTGACATGATCTCATGTAGTTTCCAAAAGCACCTTATGAAGTGCTGGTGCTATTATTATTCCATTGGAGAGATCAGGAAACTGAGGTGCAGCAAGGTGAAGTGACTTGCTCAAGGTCATACAGCTAGTGAATGGCAGGGTTGGCACCTGAAAGTCAGTTCCTTCTGCCCTCAAAGCCCATGCTATTAACCAGTGGGTCAGCATTTCCTAGATCTGGGTCCACAAACATCACTGATCGTGATGGAGTAGCCTTAGGGGGAACTTGTATGTTCATTTTAAACTCCAATAGTTACATAACTATTTAAAGTATAGTAGAAAATACATATATATCACCTCAAACTCATGATTTTAATAATGATGCTTCCCTTTAAAATAACTGAATTTATATTAAAGGTTAGTTGCTTTAATGAAAACTATTAAGTAAATAAAAGTACTGTTAGGTTCAAATACGGTAAATATATTAGAAAGGGCAACAATGAAGTATGAGAAACACTAAGCCAGACTCAGTTTTCTTTCTTTTTGAGAGAGTCTTGCTCTGTCACCCAGGCTGGAGTGCAGTGGCGAAATTTCAGCTCACCACAACCTCTGCCTCCTAGGATCAAGCAATTCTTGTGCCTCAGCCTTCCAAGTAGCTGGGACTACAGGTGCATGCCACCACACCTGGATAATTTTTTATATTTTTAGTGGAGACAGCGTTTTGTCACATTGTCCAGGCTGGTCTCAAACTCCTGACCTCAGGTGATCCACCTGTGCCCGCCTTGGCCTCCCAAAGTGCTGGGATTATAGGCGTGAGCCATGGCGCCTGTCCCAGACTCTGTTTACTGTAAAAATATGTAACAATTTATACTTTTTACTGTGTATATAAGCTGTACCTAATAAGAGGACTATAGGCCAGGAGCAGTGGCTCATGCTTGTAATCTCAGTACTTTGGGAGGCAGAGGCAGGATTGCTTGAACTCAGGAGTTCAAGATCAGCCTGGGTAACATAAGAAGATCGCATCTCTACAAAAAAAAAAATTACCTGGCCTTGGTGTGCACTTGTAGTCCCAGCTACTTGGGAGGCCAAGGTGTGAGGATTGTTTGAGTCTAGGAGGTCCAGGCCACAGTGAGCCATGACTGTGCCACTGCACTTCAGCCTGGGTGACAGAGTGCAACCCTGTCTCTAAAAATAAAAAAAATTATAAAAAATAAAATGCCTCAGCAGGGTGTGATGGAACAGTGAGAGGATAGATTTGATGGGGGCTGGACTACATGATAAAGCAACTGTAACAAAATGTTAACATAGAACCTGGTAGTGCACACTCAGGGTGATTCACTGCACAATTCTTTCCACTTCTCTGGAAACTTTCATGCTGGAAAGAATGTCCAACATGATTGTTTATAGATTGTACCATACAATGAATGCATGAATGAATGAATACATAAGGCCTAAAAATGGCAGAGGCCAGGCACAGTGGCTCACACCTGTAATCCCAGCTCTTTGGGAGGCCAAGGCGGATGGATCACCTGAGGTCATGAGTTTGAGTTTGAGACCAGCCTGGCCAACATGGCAAAACACCATCTGTACTAAAAATATAAAAACTGGCCGGACGTGGTGGTGCACAGCTATAGTCCCAGCTACTCGGGAGGCTGAGGCAGGAGAATTGCTTGAACCGGGAAGTGGAGGCTGCAGTGAGCCAAGATCGCACCATTGCACTCCAGCCTGGGTAACAGAGCGAGACTCTTGTCAAACAAAACAAAAAAAAAACAAAACAAACAAACAAAAAGAGAGGAATCTGCTGACATACTTTCTTGATGCTGTCTATATATAGGAAAGTGGTCATGTATTACTTTCATAAGAAAAATATTTTCTTTTTAGAGACAAAAACAGCACAAGAAGTCCATGGATAAAATCAGCATTTATTCAGAGGGCATGATGCCAGGAAGAAGCTCCCTGAGCGGGAGACAATGGCTAGCCCCCCTGCAAGGGGAACAAGGTCTCAGCCCTTCCCTACTCCCAGCCCTGCTGGAAAGGCCAGGAGCACAGTTTGTGGAGGGGCTCTAGGGTGGGCCTGGGTATGTGACCTGCCCCTCTGCCCACAGGTGAGTGTGACCTGCGTCCCAAGGATCCCGAGTATCAGGAGAGCTGGCACAGGAAGTCGTGCAGAGGCAAAGCCAGGAGCCCCGACAGGGAGATCCCCAGCGTGTCAGAGATGCAGGTGGCCGCCATTGCAAACTCCCGGTGCTCATCACTGGTCTGGGAGGGCAGAGAGCAGGGGTGAGGCTTCAGTCCCAGACATCCCTGCCCTGGGTGTCCCTGGACAGGCCACCCACAGCCCTTGCCCGGCGGGTGCTGACCTCCAGGGCGATGTTGTGGAAGGTGTTCACATAGGCTGCGCCTCCCAGGAGCCCCTCATACAGAATGATCAGGAAGACGAAGTAGATGCTTGGCAGAAAGCCGAACCACACGTCCGCCAGCAGGAATGCCAGGTTGAGGCACTGTGAGCAGAGGGAGAGGTTGAGCCTGGGCCCAGGGTGGGGCAGGGAGGGAGAGGGGACCTCTCCTCCAGGGGCCCTTGGTTCTAGGAGATACTGGTGAAGGAGAGGGCTGCCAGGCCTAGATAAAATCTTAACACCAGCCCAGGGTGGTGGCTCACACCTGTAATCCCCAGCACTTTGGAAGGCTGAGGCAGGCGGATCACCTGAGGTCAGGATTTCGAGACCAGCCTGGCCTGGTCTCTGCTAAACATGGTAAAACCTCATCTCAACTAAAAATACAAAAATTAGCTGGGTGTAGTGGTCCTGTAGTCCCAGCTACTTGGGAGGCTGAGGCAGGAGAATCGCTTGAACCTGGGAGGCAGAGGCTGCAGTGAGCCAAGATTGCACCACTGCACTCCAGCCTGGGCAACAGAGAGAGACTCCATCTCAAAAAAAAAAACAAAACCAAAATCCCAACCTCAGCCTGGTGCGGTGGCTCATGCAGGTAATACCAGCACATTGGGAGACCGAGGTGGGACGATCACTTGAGGCCAGGAGTTTGAGACCAGCCTGGGCAACATAACAAAACTCTGTCTCTATAAAAAATTTAAAAATTAGTTGAGTGTGGTGGCATGCACCTGTAGTCCCAGCTACTCGGGAGTCTGAGCAGAATTGCTTGAACCCAGGAGGTGGAGGCTGCAGTAAGCTATGACTGTGTCACTGTACTCCAGCCTGGGTGACAGAGCAAGATCTTGTCTCAACAAACAAACAAACAAACAAACAAAACCAGAGGCTTCCTGGCCGGGCGCGGTGGCTCAAGCCTGTAATCCCAGCACTTTGGGAGGCCGAGACGGGCGGATCACGAGGTCAGGAGATCGAGACCATCCTGGCTAACACGGTGAAACCCCGTCTCTACTAAAAAAATACAAAAAACTAGCCGGGCGTGGTGGCGGCGCCTGTAGTCCCAGCTACTCGGGAGGCTGAGGCAGGAGAATGGCGTAAACCCGGGAGGCGGAGCTTGCAGTGAGCTGAGATCCGGCCACTGCACTCCAGCCTGGGCGACAGAGCCAGACTCCGTCTCAAAACAAAAACAAAAACAAAAACAAAACAAAACAAAACAAAAAAAACCCAGAGGCTTCCTAAAGGAAGTGGGACCATCGAAACCAGGATTTCTCAATTGCAGCACTCTTGGCATTTGGTGCTGGTCGCTCTGTGTGGTGAGGGCTGTCCTGCGTACAGCAGTGCATTTAGCAGCATCCCTGGCCTCTGCCCGCTAGATGCCCATAGCATCCCTTAGTTGTAACAACCAAAGAATGCCTGCAGACATTGCCAAACATCCCCTGGGCAACAAAATTGCCCGTTTGAAAAACCGCTGGTTCACCATGGTAAAACAAGGTGGGAGTAGGCAGGCATCCTATTCAGCTGGGCTTGAACTCCTGGCCTCAAGCAGTTGCTGCCCCTCTGCCTCAGCCTCCCAAAGTGCTGGGATTATAGGCAGGAGCCACCGCACTTGGCGAGGAAGCCTCCTTGATCCCCACCCCAGGGTGTAGGTCCCACCTCTGTATCCCAGTCTCTCAGGGAGGTGCCATTCTCCTAGCCCTGACCATGCCACGTTGCCTCTTGGGCAGTGTGTAGGCCACCTCCTGGCGCTTCATACTTTTCGTACACGTAAACATCGCCTGGGGATCTAGGTACAAATGCCCCAAGCAGGGCTTACCCTAGAGGTCCTAATTCATTAAATCTGAGGTGGACTTAAAGCTGAGCATTAAAAAGGACACACCCCTAGCCAGGTGTGGTGGCTCACGCCGGTAATCCCAGCACTTTGGGAGGCCAAGGTGGGTGGATCACCTGAGGTCAGGAGTTCAAGACCAGCCTAGCCAACATGGCGAAATCCCATCTCTACTAAAAAATACAAAAATTAGCCAGGTGTGGTGGCACATGCCTGTAATCCCAGCTACTCAGGAGGCTGAGGCAGGAGAATCGCTTGAATCCCAGAGGCGGAGGTTGCAGTGAGCTGAGATCACGCCATTGCACTCCAGCCTGAGCAACAAGAGCGAAACTCTGTCTCTAAAATAAACAAAACAAAAAATTATCCGGGCGTGGTGGCGTGCACCTGTAATCCCAGCTACTCGCAAGGCTGAGGCTTGAGAATTGCTTGAATGTGGGAGGCAGAGGTTGCAGTGAGCCAAGATTGCACCACTGCATTCTAGCCTGGGCAATGGAGCGAGACTTTATCTCAAAAAAGAAAAAAAATTATAGCTAAAAACATGTAGCTTAAAACCATAAGCTACATATTTCAGTGGTATCTAGAAGCACCCCAAGTTATAAATCTGGGGTTTTGTGGGTACAAACCCTGGGCTTGCAGCACTGCTCAGATAAATAAGGCAGAAGGTTGGAGGATATTTACATGCTTTTGCCATAATATTAAAGTGTAATTTTTTTTCTTTTTTTTTTTTTTGAGATAGGGTCTCACCCAGGCTGGGATACAGTAGCATGATTACAGCTCACTGCAGCCTGGAACTCCTGGGCTAAAGCGATCCTCCTGCCTCAGCCTCCCAAGTAGCTGGGATTACAGGTGAATGTCACCACACCCTGTTGTTTTTTTGTAGAGATGGGGTCTCATGACGTTACCCAGGCTGCTCTCTCAAACTCCTGGGCTCAAGCAATTCTCCCGCCGGTTTTTGTTTTTTGTTTTTTTTAAGAGATGGGGGTCTCACTATGTTGCCCAGTCTGGTCTCAAGCTCCTGGCTTCAAGTCATTCCCCCACCCTAGCCTCCAAAAGCATTGGGATTACAGGTGTGAGTCACAACACCTGGCCTAAAATATAATCTCTATTTCTGTATTTTGCTATCACAGAATTGAATTCCTAAGGTTTTCTTTTCTTTTTTGGAGATGGAGTCTTGCTCTGTGTGGCCCAGGCTGGAGTGCAGTGGTGCGATCTCAGCTCACTGCAACCTCCATCTCCCAGGTTCAAGCAATTCTTCTGCCTCAGCCTAGCAAGTAGCCGGGATGACAGACAGGTGCTACCACGCCCGACTAATTTTTGTATTTTTAGTAGAGACGGGGTTTCACTGTGTTGGCCAGACTGGTCTCGAACTCCTGACCTCAGGTGATTCGTCTACCTCTGGCTCCCAAAGTGCTGGGATTACAGGTGTGAACCACCACTGGCGGAGTTCCTAAATTTCAAGGGCAGAGGACTTTCCTGTCACAGTTGACAGTTTATTGTAACAGTTACCTCCAGGGACTGTGGATTTGTAACCTTGAAACAATGAATACTGGTTATATGAAACTCCTTTTATTAGACTGTTGTAAGGAAGGGTGTTTGTGCCCTTAAAGCTGTAAACTACTGTTTACCAAGGGCAGTGGAATTTGCTCACCACCCTTAAGATAAATAACCCATTGACTACAAAGTCACCAATTCTATTATAATTAACTATCTAGAATAAAGGAACTGTACATTTTCTTATAGTTAGAAACATTATTTGAAAGCTTGTCTCTTTGCATGAGGTAAGTGACCTATGATCATGCCACTGTACTCCAGCCTGGGCGACAGAGGAAGGTCCTGACTTTTTCTTTCTTTCTTTTTTCTGTTTTTGGGAGACAGGGTCTTGCTCTGTTGCCTAGGCTGGAGTGCAGAGGCATGACCTTGGTTCACCACAGCATTGACCTCATAGGCTCAAGTGATCCTCCCACCTCAGCTTCCTAGACTACAGGTGTGCACCACCACGCCTGGCTAATTTTTGTAGAGATGTGATTTTGCCATGTTGCCCAGACTGGACTTGAACTACCAGGCTCAAATGATCCACCTGCTTCAGCCTCCCAAAGTGCTGGGATTACAGGTATGAGCCACCTGGCCCACCCCAATCACCACACGGCTTAAAACACACACACACACACACACACACACACGCACGCACACATACACAATACAAAACCTTGTTCTTCCATTCTTTCTTTCATCTCTATTTCTTACAATTACTCTGAAAAATAGGTATTGGCCACACCCAATTTATACATGAGGAAATTGTGGCTCAGGGTGGTTCTGAGACCTGCCCTAAGTCACTCAGTGGCTGAGGACTGAAGCTCGGTTTTGCTTGGCTCCTGAGGCTATACATTTTACATGGAGCCCTGCTGGACTTCGGTTCCCTGTGCTAAGAAATGATAGTGTACAATTTCCACTTCCCTATAATCTCAGCATTTGAGGAGGCTGAGGCCAGCACATCACCTGAGGTCAGGAGTTCAAGACCAGCAAATATGGCAAAACCCCACCTCTACTAAAAATATAAAAATTAGCAGGTATGGAGGTAGGCGCCTGTAATCCCAGCTACTCGGGAGACTGAGGCAGGAGAATCACTTGAATCCGGGAGGCAGAGGTTGCAGTGAGCCAAGATTGCACCACTGCACTCCAGCCTGGACGACAGAGTGAGACTCTGTCTCAAAAAACAAACAAACAAACAAAAAAAACTACACTTCCTACTGATAGTGGGAAGCAGGGGAGTTTGGGGAAGCTGGGAGCCAAGGTGGGAACGGAGTGAGGGGCAGGGGTTTGGTACCTGCAGCAGGGCCAGGGCCCAGGTGAAACGGATGTGACAGCAGCGGAGAGAAGAGCGGGAGGCAAAGACGCCTGCCTGGTACAACATCTGGTACCTGAGGTTAGGGTAGGGAGTAGGAGAGGAGGCTCCTCCAGGGACCATCCCACTCCCCCGGGTCCCTACTGAGCAGGGCGGCCCCATCACCACGGCGCCCTCCCAGCCCACCGCCCTCGCTCCTCTTACCAGCGGTATTGCTGAGCGTGACTCAGGGAAGTGTTCCGGAAAAAGAGGAGTTCAAACTGCAGCAAAGACCAGACAGGGGAGATGGACAGGGCTGTGTGGGTCCCAGCCCCAGTCACCACCTCCACACCCCTCCCAGCACCTCTCACTCACAAGTCCCTGGTTGATGAAATATTCGGCAAAGTAAACCACGACCAAGGGGACAATGTACCACAGCAGACCCTGGAAAAGGCAGAAGATATAAGTGGGGGGCCCGGAGGTGAGCAACTCCCACGGGGACACACCCCAGCCATCATCCGAACCTTGAACACTGTCCACCTTTCCCGAAGGGAGAGGCTGGAGCTGGAGCCTGCAGGGGAACAGAGAGAGAAGGGCAGATGAAGTTTTCACACTGAAGACTCGGCAAAGAGGCGCCGGTGTGACAGAATTAACTAGACCACGCAACAGTGGGAAGTGACTTACATGCCACTGGATTGGATGTAACAAATTTTAAGAATTGTTAAAATGTTAAAATTTGTTAAAATGGCTGGGCGCAGTGGCTCACGCTTGTAATCCCAGCAATTTGGGAGGCTGAGGCGGGCGGATCACCTGAGGTCAGGAGTTCAAGATCACCCTGGCCAACATGGAGAAACCCCATCTCTACTAAAAATACAAAAATTAGCCGTGTGTGGTGGCGGGTGCCTGTAATCCCAGCTACTCAGGTGGCTGAGGTGGGAGAATCACTTGAACCCGGAAGGCAGAGGTTGCAGTGAGCTGAGATTGCGCCATCGCACTCCAGCCTGGGCAACAAGAGTGAAACTCCATCTCAAAAAAATAAAATAAGATAAAAAAAAATAATAAAATGGTAAACTTCGAGTAATATACATACTTTTTACCATGATGAAAAAAATAAAGCTAACCAGGTGAGACCTCTTCATGTCTCTTTTTAAATTTTTTTTTTTTTTTTTTTTTTTTAGACGGAGTTTCGCTGTGTCGCCCAGGCTGGAGTGCAGTGGCGCGATCTCGGCTCACTGCAAGCTCCGCCTCCCGGGTTCACGCCATTCTCCCGCCTCAGCCTCCGAGTAGCTGGGACTACAGGCGCCCGCCACCACGCCCGGCTAGTTTTTTTTTGTATTTTTTAGTAGAGACGGGGTTTCACCATGTTAGCCAGGATGGTCTCGATCTCCTGACCTCGTGATCCACCCGCCTCGGCCTCCCAAAGTGCTGGGATTACAGGCTTGAGCCACCGCGCCCGGCCTTAAATTGTTTTTATTTTTTGAGACAGAGTCTCACTCAGTTGCCCAGGCAGGAGTGCAGTGGTGTGATCTCAACTCACTGCAACCTCCGCCTCCTGGGTTCAAGCTTATCCCTTTGAACACTTCCAAAGGATCACTTGAGCTAGAACATCCCAGCTTATCCCCACTGCAGGACCTCAGCACTTGTGATTGGAATGCCTGGCACATGGTAAGTACTCAATTAATACCTCTTCCTCCCTCCCTTTCTTTTCTTTCTTTCTTTTCTTTTTTATGACAGGGTCTTGCTCTGTTGCCCAGGCTGGACTCAAACTCCTGAGCTCAAGAGATCCTCCTGCCTCAGCCTCCCAAAGTGCTGGGATATTACAGGCGTGAGCCTCTGTGCTGGGCCTCAACAAGTATTTCTCAAATAGACAAAGGTTTTTCCCATAATCAGTACACTCACTCTCTTTCCCCTCATAACTGTGTCCATTGCAGAGAGGAAAAGGTCAAACCCAGAGAGAAAGTGACCTCTCTAAGGGTCTGTGTCTCCTACCTGGCTTCGACCCCGGAGTCTCAGTTCTTATGAGGGGCTGCCGGGCTGAGTTCTCTGCCTCTTCTTCCCCTCCAGGGTCCTGGGCCTCAGGAGATGTGAGCAACAAGAAATAGCTAGGAGTAGGATGAAGGCAGGGTCAGAGAACCCTACTGGCTGGGAAGGTCCCCAGGGACTGTCTAGGCCACTCTTTTCCCAGGAACACCTCTGCCTTTGAACACTTCCAAAGACCGGTAGCTCACTGCCTCTAAGGCACCTACACTGTCCTGGAGAGCCCCAATTGTAGACAAAGGCTTCCTTCTTTGGAGCTGAATTTATCTCCTTGTTGTTCCTATTCATGGGCCTTTATTTTGTTGTGATTTTTTTTCAGAGACAGGGTCTTTCTCCATCACCCAGGCTGGAATGCAGTGGTGCAATCATAGCTCACTGCAGCCTCGACCTCCCAGGCTCAAGCAATCCTCGTGCCTCAGCCTCCCAAGTAGCTGGGACTACAGGCATGTGCCACCAAGCCCGCCTCATATTTTCCATTTTTTGTATAAATAGAATCTCGCTTTGTTGCCCAGGCTGGTCTCAAATTTCTCACCTCTAGTGGTCCTCCAGGTTCAGTCTACTAAAGCACTGGGATTACAGCCATGAGCCACTATGCTCAGCAGGCCCTCGTTTGGACTGCTGGCTCATACCAAGCGAGTCAGTTCTGTTTTCTGGCCATTATTACTCTAATGGTTGCTCTAGTTCCCATTAATTATACGTTTACTCTGTGCTAGGCCAGAACTTCCTCGATTTCAATCACTTAGGTTCTGGCTTCATGTTATTTGCCATATCCACATTCCTCCTGTGTATATATATATTTACTTAATATTTTCCTTTAAATGGACTCACTTTTTCTACCTGGACTTGTCCTAAGCACTAATCTTGTGAAGGGTCAGGTGTGATTGGCTAGTTCAAAGTGTTTCCTTTTTTTTTTTGTTTTTTTTTGAGATGAGTCTTGCTCTGCTGCCCAGCCTGGAGTGCAGTGGCATGATCTCGGCTCACTGCAACCTCTGCCTCCTGGCGATTCTTCTGCCTCAGTCTCCCGAGTAGCTGGGACTACAGGTAAGCGCCACTAAGCCTGGCTAATTTTTGTATTTTTAGTAGAGACGGGCTTCACCCCGCCACCATGCCTGGCCAAAGTGCTTCCTAATATGCATAAAAATACAAGAACTATATCAGGCCAGGCACGGTGGCTCACGCCTATATTCCCAGCATTACGAGAGGCCAAGGCAGGCGGATCACTTGAGGTCAGGAGTTCAAGACCAGCCTGGCCAACACAGTGAAACCTGTGTCTACTAAAAATATAAAAAATTAGCCAGGCATAGTGGCATGGGCCTGTAGTCCCAGCTACTTGGGAGGTTGAGGCAGGAGAATCACCAGAGCCCGGGAGACCAAGGTTGCAGTGAGCTGAGATCACACCAGCCACTGTACTCCAGCCTGAGTGACAGAACAAGACTTCGTCTCAAAAAAAAAAAGATCTAATCAAAGTCCACCCTCATCCTACTTCTAATCACCTTGGGAACCACACTGTGCTGAATGCATTACCCTCATCACCTCCCAGGAAAGCAAGAATGACTGCCATTTGAGATATGGGGAAACTGAGGGTGCAGAGAGGTGGAGTAACTTGTTCAACACCGCACAGCTAAAAAGTGGCAGCTCCAGGACTCACACCTGGGGTATCAGAGTCCAGATTCCACCTCCCTTCAGAGCAAGGTAGGGACTTGAAGGTTGCAATCATAATCAAGTTTTCTTTCTTTTTTTTTTTTTCCTGAGACAGAGTCTTACTCTGTCGCCCGGGCTGGAGTGCAATGGTGAGATCTCGGCTCACTGCCACCACTGCCTCCAGGGTTCAAGTGATCCTCCTGCCTCAGCCTCCTGAGTAGTTGGGACTACAGGCACCTGCCAACACACCTGGCTAATTTTTATATTTTTAGTAGAGCCGGGGTTTCACCATGTTGGCCAGGCTGGTTTCCTGACCTTAGGCGATCCGCCCTCCTCGGCCTCCCAAAGTGCTGGGATTACAGGCATGAGCCACCACACTTGGCCATGGCCAAGTTTTCTCTCCTTGGACCCCTCTCCCTCCCAGTTCAGGGCAACTCACCTGGCCAGCAGCAGGGCAGGGATACCCAGCATGGAGAGCAGGGTCTGCTGGGGGGAGAGGCCAGCCTGGGTGAGGCCCAGGTAGGACAGGGCCCCCAGCAGCCCAGCTCCTCCAGTCCCTGAGGACCACCAGGAGATCACAGCCCTGGGAAGGAGAACAAAGGAACATTCAGGAGGACCAAGGCCGACCATGTGACAGCCGTTCCCCACATTCCCTGCTCCATCTGCTTACCTGGGGTAGAAGGCAGTGAGGGAGAGGAAGGTGACCTCCCCGAGGCCTGATGAGATGCTAGCCAAGACCACACCTGGGGGGAGGACAAGCAACGGGGTGGTAACACCTCGCCTTGCCACATCGCCCAGGCCCCTAAGGTGTCTGGCCATGGCCTCCTCCATATCACCTCATAGAGGCTCCAACAGATCTCACGTACAGGCCAGGTTCCAGGTCTGAAGCAGAGCCCCCTGCCCCTGTGTGTCCCTTCATGGAGAGTGGCACCTCCATCCACCCAGCTATCAGACCAGGAGCAGACATGCAACCTTGATGGCTCTGCCCCTCCATCAGTCCTTTTTTTAAATTTTCTTTTCTTTTTGGAGATGGAGTCTCGCCCTGTCACCCAGGCTGGAGTACAGTGGCATGATCTTGGCTCACTGCAACCTCTGCCTCCCAGGTTCAAGAGATTCTCCTGTCTCAGCCTCCTGAGTAGCTGGGATTACAAGCTTGTGCCACCATACCCAGCTAATTTTTGTATTTTTGGTAGAGACAGGGTTTCTCCATGTTGGCCAGGCGCTGGTTTCGAACTCCTGACCTCAGGTTATCCGCCCGCCTCGGCTTTCCAAAATGCTGGGATTATAGGTATGAGTCAACGTGCCCGGCCCATCACAGAGTCTTGACTTTGTTCACCTCAATCTCCGTCTAATTCATCCATTTTTTCCCATCTCCTCCACTGCCTACCCCTTCAAATTGTCGCAGTATCCCATCTCCTACTGCTGATAGCCCTAGCAGGCTTCTGACGGTGACAGAATGAATCTCTTTCCTCTGGGAGGCTGGGGAGACTCTTCCCACAAATGCTCTGATGCGGTTCCTCAGGGACCCCCATCTGACACAGAACCGCACACTCACCACACAGGCTGGTCCCCACAGAATGAGAAAAGGCAACCAGGACGAAGCTTCCAGCAGCACAAATCCCACTGACAAGAACCCGGGGGCTGAGGGGGCCAGAACGGAAGAGAGAAGGAAGGTCAGTTTCTACTCTCAGCATCTCAGCCCTCCCAGCCTCCCCATTCTCAGGTCCTGCCTGCCCTGCCTCCTGCTACTCCCACCCAGACCTGTAGGGCAGCAGGTGAAGGCCAAGAGGAGCCAACAATTTGATGACGAGCGTGGGGAGGATGTCTGCCAGGAGCACGGCCTGGGACAGGAGAAAGGAGTGAGACCCCAGAGGTTCCAGGGGACAACCCTCCCAACCACGTGGCCAAGGAGAGGTAGGAGCTGGCCTGCTACAAACACAGGCTCTGGGGTCAGGCACACCTGGGTTCAAGTCTCAGCTCTGCCACTCCTTAGCTGTGTGTCAAGAGTTTATATTATATCAGCTTCAGTTTCCTCATCTGGAAAATGGGGATATCATAGCGCCTAGCTCATAGGACTGCTGTGTGGATTAAACGAGCTAATATATGCTACATACAGAAAGGGCTCAGAAACTTTATATATATATATATTTTTGTTTTGTTTTGTTTTGTGAGATTGAGTCTCACTCTGCCACCCAGGCTGGAGTGTAGTGACTCGATCTTAGCTCACTACAACCTCCACCTCCTGGGTTCAAGTGACTCTCCCACCTTAGCCTCCCAAGTAGCTGGGATTACAGGCATGCACCACCACACCTGGCTAATTTTTGTATTTTTAGTACAGATGGGGTTTCACCATGTTGGCCAGGCTGGTCTTGAACTCCTGGCCTCAAGTGATCTGCCCGCCTCAGCCTCAGAAATTATATTAAGGTCTCGATTATTACATATACCCTTTTTTTTCTCTTTTTCCTTAAGATGGGGTCTCACTATACTGCCCAGGCTGGTCTCAAACTCCTAGGCTCAAGTGATCCTCCCACCTTGGTCTCCCAAAGTGCCGGGATTACAGGTGTGAGCCAATGCGCCCAGCCCAGGTCTCAACTGTTTTAATCATGACAGTCCCAGTTGGGTAGTGAAGGGCTGGGAGTGGGGTCTATAGACCCAGGGGCCTGGGTCAGGAGAGGACCAGGTGAGATTAGTACGCACAGCTGTAGAGACAGAGTTGCAGTCAAATCGTGATGAGCTGTTGTGGGGGATGGGCGCTGGGCCTGGGTCCACCTGATGGAAGAAAACAGTGTCTTTCACCCTGGAAGCAGAGGGATAGACACACAGAGCCAGCTCCCATCCCAGCTCTGCCTTCAATTGAAGGATGGCTTTGGGTCAGCAGTGACTGACCTCTCAGGACCTCAGTGTCTCTGCATGCACAATGAAGAGGGGGTTTCCATATGAGTCTCACCCTACTAGACCACAGGCCACAGATAGCCCCGTAAATGGACTTTGTTTAGATAACACATTCAAGAGCTTTTTTTTTTTGAGATGGAGTCTCACTCTGTTGCCCAAGTTAGAGTGCAGTGGTGTGATCTTGGCTCATTGCAACCTCTGCCTCCTGGCTTCAAGCAATTCTTCTGCCTCAGCCTCTTGAGTAGCTCAGACTACAGGTGTGTGCCACCACACCCAGCTAGTTTTTGTATTTTTAGTAGAGTTGGAGTTTCACCATGTTGGCCAGGTTGGTCTCGAACTCCCGACTTCAAGTGATCCGCCTGCCTCAGCCTCCCAAACTGTTGGGATTATGGGTGTCAGCCACTGTGCCCAGCCAGAGACTGGAAACTTTACCCACCCTTGTGCCATCCCTTGGCCACCCCATTCCATGAGTTTTTCAAGGAGGCCTCTGTCCCATGCCCTCATCTTCCCACAGGGACTAACCATAGTAGTGGTGGTAGAGAGTCACTTACATGGCTCTGGTTTCCCGATGTCCTCTCATGGCTAAGGATGTCATGGGCGGCACTCAGCATCACCACATAAGAGAAGTTGTTGCAAAGGCCCAGCAGCCTGGAAGGAGCAGGACAGGTCTCAGCTCCCTCCTGATCCTGCAGCCATCTGTAGCCTTTGTGCCAAACCTCCCCTTACCTGTGCCCTTCAATCAGCTCCCTTTTTTTTTTTCCTCTATCACCAGATCCCATCTTCATTCAGTGTTGGGGTCAGAAATACAGGCTTTGGTGCTTGGGCAAGACAGTGAGACCCCCATCTCTACAAAAAATTAAAAAATTAGCCAGGTGTGGTGGCTCGAACTGTAGTCCCAGCTACTTGGGTGGCTGAGGTGGGAGGATTGCTTGAGTCCAGGAGTTAGAGGCTGCAGTGAACTGTGATCATGCCACTGCACTCCAGCCTGGGTGACAGAGCAAGACCCTGTTACAAAAATAAAAAATAAAAAGGAAGAGGCCAGGTGCGGTGGCTCACATCTATAATCCCAGCACTTTGAGGGGCCAAGGTAGGCGGATCACCTGAGGTCGGGAGTTCGAGACCAGCCTGACCATCATGGAGAAACCCTGTCTCTACTAAAAAATACGAAATTAGCCGGGAGAAGTGGCACATGCCTGTAATCCTAGCTACTCGGGAGGCTGCAGCAGGAGAACCACTTGAACCCAAAAGGCAGAGTTTGCAGTGAGCCGAGATTGCACCATTGCACTCCAGTCTGGGTTACAAGAGTGAGACTCCATCTCAAAAAAAAAAAAAGGAAGAAAATAGGGGCTTTGGGATCACAGAGCTGGATTCACTTCCAGCCTCCCAGGCCTCTCCCAGAAGCTCTCCATGACCACTCTCTCCTCTGAGCTCCCACTGTGACTCAGTTCCTGGGGCATTTCTCATCCTCTGATGCACTGCAGTACAGTTAAAAAAAAAAAAAAAAAAAAAATATATATATATATAAAAATATATCCTGGGGAAGCCAGGCGCGGTGGCTCACACCTGTAATCCCAGCACTTTGGGAGGCTGAGGCGAGTAGATCACTTGAGGCCAGGAGTTCGAGATCATCCTGGCCAACATGACAAAATCCTGTCTCTACTGGAAATACAAAAATCAGTTGGGCGTGGTGGCTCACGCCTGTAATCCCAGCTACTTCGGAGGGTGAGGCACAAGAATCGCCTGAATTGGGAGGCGGAGGTTGCAGTAAGCCAAGATTCTGCTTTTTTGAGACTCTGTCTCAAAAAAAAAAAAACAAAAACAAAAACCTGGGGCTCGAAACCGAAAGGACTGTGTTCAAGCCCCAAGTCTGCTCTTTAGTAGTCTCAGTCTACTCATGTGCAAAATAGGGATACAAATTTATCTCCTGACTATCCCCCCAACAGAATGCTATACGGATCAAATTAAGATAAGACCAAAGGCCTTTAGGATTCAGGAAGGGTTCTGTTTGTTTACTCTCATCTCCCAGAGTTGCACTCAGTGATGGGAGGGAATCTGGGTCTGGTGCCAGAGATTTCATTAGGGGCCTTTTCACAAGACTTTGAAGTAGAACTACAATACTACTCTTCCCATTTGACTGTAGAGGAACCAGGGTCAGAAAGGTTAAGTGACTCTTCCAAACAGTACATGGGAAGCCACTTCTAACCCAGTCCGGAAGTGGGTGGAGGATCCAAGTCCTCAATGTTTAGGTTAATGCTAGAAGTATTTCCGGAGGCTTGGTATTTGTATGATTTTAGAAGGTATATGGATGACCTTTTAAAAAGTTTCAGGGCGGGGCACGGTGGCTCACACCTATAATCCCAGCACTGTGGGAGGTGGAGGCAAGCGGATCACCTAAGGTCAGGAGTTCCGGACCAGCCTGACCAGCATGGTGAAATCCCATCTCTACTAAAAATACAAAAAATTAGCTGTGTCTGGTGACGCGTGCCTGTAATCCCAGCTATTCAGGGGGCTGAGACAGGAGAATCGCTTGAACCTGGGAGGCGGAGGTTTTGGTGAGCCGAGATCATGCCCCTGCTCTCTAGCCTGGGTGACAGAGTGAGACTCTGTCTCAAAAATAAAATTAAATGAAAAAAAGGTTCAGGCCCGGCATGGTGGCTCATGCTTGCAATCTCAGTACTTTGGAAGGTTGAGGTAGGAGGATCACTTGAGGCCACGAGTTTGAGACCAGCCCAGGTCCCATAGTGAGACCCCATCTCTATAAAAAAATTAAAAAATTAGCCAGGTGAGGTGGTGCACGCCTGTAGTCACAGCTACCTGGAGGCTGAGGTGGGAGGATCACTTGAGCCCAGGAGTTCTAGGCTGCAGTGAGCTGTGATTGCTTCACTGCATTCCAACCTGGGCAACAGAGCAAGACCCTGTCTCAGAAAGAAAACGAGTAAGATAAAATAAATTTAAAAAATAAAAGTTTTAGTAGTGATGTAAACGTTCATTAGGAAAATGCTGGTTTTCCATGTGGAGTTGTGATTTAAAGTTTTCTTTTAAAAAACATGTGCATTAAAAAACTTTAAGGCTGAATTGGTTGGAGGAAAAAAGTAAATAATCCTACAGATGGTATGAGGATCTGGCTAAATCCCGAAGGTGATAAGGAGTGAAGTTTGCAAATTTTACATGCTGCCCCCGGGCAAACCAGTGGATTCAGTAAATATTTGTGGGTTCAGCTCCTTTGCGCAGCTTAACTCCTTCTTCCCCCTTTCCTCCTGTCACTTCCTTCTTCCCACCCCATTGTCACTTGCTGAACTCTCAGGCCACTCACCAGAAGCCCACCGCGTTCTTCCAATGCGCGCCCTGATGGTCCAATAGAGGGAGCCGTGGCTCCAGGACGGTCTCCTCACCTGGGAGAGCGAGAAGAGGGCATGACCCCCACCCACTCTCTGGCGCACGACGGCCCCATGCGTGTCCTCCTGGGGCCGAGTCAGCTCTCACTCCCCTCAGGTGGGCTGCGAGCCAGAGGTGGTCGCTCCAAGAGGGTGGGCCGGATTACTCACCCTCGGAATCCGAAAGGCGCCGCCGCGAGCCCGCACAGCCTCCCATCGCATCAAGTTCAGGTCCCCCAAGGGTCCAGGGTCACAGAGTGTCCAAAAGGGGCTCCCACGGGAGAGATGAGGGTCTGCGACAGGCGACAAGGATCAACGCCCGATTGCCGGTCCCAGCTCCGGCTTGTCTGGGGCACTCGCGCCCCGCGATCCATCAAGGAAGCTGGGGGCTCCATCTCGAGCGCCCTACGACCCATCACGCCCCACCCATCGCACTCTGCCCCCGCCCCGTCTACAGCAGGGACCCTGCGGCCTGTACCTTTAAGAGCAGCAGAACGTTCTGCACTTTGCAGAGGCCGGCTGTCGGATCACGTGACAGCACAAGCGGGTTCCCCCATCACATGCTCAGAGGTTTTCCCTACTTCCGGGTCCTCTCTATCTTCGCTTTAGGCCTTCTCGGCTTCGGAGCGTGAGAAAGGGAGGGGCCGGAGAACCCTGGAAGGGCAGGTTTTAAACTGGAGCGGGTGGGAGCAGCAAGCAGAGCCATGACCTTAGATCAGCGGCGCTCAAGACCCAGACGGTATCCTGCCAGGACCAGTTATGGCTGTGGGAGGCTTCAGTTCCTTTCCTTCAGCACTCACTTGCCAGAAACAAATATGGACCTGCCTACTCCTCCCTTTTTGGTTTTTTTGTTTTTGTTTTTGTTTTTGTTTGTTTTTTGAGGCAGGAGTGTTTCTGGTTTCGAACAAAGACGACTAGCTTCAGGTCATTCTTATCCCCATCTGTTGACTTTACAAATTGTTTTAGAGACCTAAATAAACATAATACCCATCTAAGGGGATTTCATGAATTATCTATTGGCAGTATCCAAGATGTTAAGAGATCCCTATTTCCAAATTATCCTAGAACCAAAAAATATCACAGCAGTTCAACCCCTGGTGTTACAGATGAGAAAACCAAGGTACAAATATATATATAACTATATATATGTATAATATATATACATATAAAACAAAAATTAGCCGTGCGTGGTGGCGCATGCCTGTAGTCACAGGTACTTTGGAGGCTGAGGTGGGAGGATCACTTGTGCCTAGGAGGTGAAGCTACAGTGAGCTATTGTCCGGAGCCGCGTGGCCCGGCCATAGCGATAATAACTGATGACTGATGCCTGAGCTCTATAGGTTTCCACTCTATGCCTCCTCCCTAGATTTACTTTCTTCCCTGTTCTGCTGTCTCATAGGCCAGTACAAAATGGCGCTCTTCCAGGTTCTTCACCACCCATCTTCCCGCGCCGGGGAAGATGATCAACTTACAGCGCAGGCGCCATCCTGTGCCTGGGAAAGTTACCAGCCTAACTCGCAGGCGCAACATGACCTCCCACGAAGAAACCGAAACCTACCTGGCCACGCCCACCGCAGGGCCACCATCATCACCCTGGCCCAACCTCTGCCCCTGCTGGTCTATTTAAGGCATTACGCTGCCACCAATAAACGAGACTTGATCAGGATACTGTCTTGTCTCCATTTCTCGTGTCTCTTGTCCCCCCCGAGTTCCCACTCCCTCTTCTAGGGTCTACATTGACGATCCCGCAGGACGGGACACGTGGCACCTCAACGTGGGGCCTGGAAACGAGGGATTCCGTGAGGAAGAGGACTCGAAAGAACGGTGGACCGTCAACGTGAAACTAAACTCCTCCGATCACCGTGGGAACCTGCCGCGTCAGGATCGAAGGTAAGTGACGTGCCCGAAATGGGACAAGAATTAAGTCAACATAAAATCTATGTAGGACAATTAAAAGAGGCTTTAAAGACACGAGGAGTAACGGTTAAAGGTAATGATTTGTTTAAATTTTTTGACTTTGTAAAAGACACCTGCCCTTGGTTCCCACAGGAAGGAACTATTGATATTAAAAGATGGCGTAGAGTAGGAGATTGTTTTCAAGATTACTATAATACTTTTGGGTCAGAAAAAATTCCTGTGACCGCCTTCTCTTATTGGAATCTTATTAAAGATTTGATAGATAAAAAGGAGGCCGATCCACAAGTCATGGCCGCGGTCACCCAAACAGAATACATTCTAAAGGTTGGTTGCCGCTCTGACCTCACAAAACCTCCGCAAGATACCGAGGAGGATCTCATTTCCCTTGAGAGCGATGATGAGGGAGTCAAGTCTCCTTCTGTAACAGATAAAGAAATGTTACACAAAAACAAACAGAAAAAATATCCGGTTTTACAAAAACCTCAAAAAGAGGAAGAAACTAATAAGCCTGATCAATCAGACATAAATTGGGATGACTTAGAGGAAGAGGTGGCTAAATATCATAACCTCGACTGGCCTCCCTTTACTTCACGCCCGCCCCCATATAATGGGACACGTAATGGGGCTTCTGCGCCCACTGTTATGGCAGTAGTAGATCCCAAAGAAGAATTAAAACAAAAAATTGCTCAACTAGAAGAACAAATTAAACTTGAGGAGTTGCATCAATCATTGATAATTAGGCTCCAAAAATTAAAAACAGGAAATGAAAAGGTACCTAACCCGGATGTTATGGGGGGTTCCCTGCGCCCACCTCAGCGGCCCGGACAGCATGTCCCAAGAGGGGGGTTAGTTGCTAGCCGACATGGAGAAGACTCCTCCCCCAAAGACATCGTCCCAGTTACTGAAACCACAGAAGGGCAAGGACAGGCTTGGAGACATCATACTGGGTTTGATTTCACTATCATAAAAGAGTTAAAAACTGCTGCTTCTCAATATGGGGCTATTGCTCCATATACTCTCGCAATAGTGGAATTTGTAGCCGATAACTGGCTCACCCCTACAGATTGGAATACCTTAGTTAGGGCAGTTCTCTCTGGGGGAGATCATTTAATTTGGAAGTCAGAGTTTTTTTGAAAATTGTAGGGACACAGCTAAAAGAAACCAACAGGCAGGAAATGGCTGGGATTTTGATATGTTAACTGGTTCAGGTAACTATGCAGACACTGAGGCCGAAATGCAATATGATCCTGGCTTGTTTTCACAAATCCAGGCAGCTGCTACAAAAGCCTGGAGGAAACTCCCTGTTAAAGGAGACCCAGGGGCCTCACTCACGGCAGTCAAACAAGGACCAGATGAGCTGTTCTCAGATTTTGTACATAGACTCATGACCACGGCAGGTAGAATTTTCGGAAATGCAGAAATGGGTATAGATTATGTTAAACAGTTGGCATATGAAAACGCCAACCCTGCCTGTCAAGCGGCAATCAGACCTTATCGAAAGAAAACAGATTTAACAGGATATATTCGCCTTTGTTCAGATATTGGGCCCTCATATCAACAGGGTCTAGCAATGGCCGCCGCCTTTAGCGGTCAAACAGTAAAAGACTTCCTCAATAACAAAGGCAAAGATAAAGGGGAGTGCTTTAAATGCGGTAAAAAAGGACACTTTGCAAAAGATTGCCGCGAAAATCAAAATAAAAATCCAGAAACAAAAATTCCAAACCACTTACACATCAGCTCAGCTAGTCGAATTACAAGCTATAATTGCAGCATTATCAGCTTTCCCTTGTCAGCCACTTAATATTTACACAGACAGCGCCTACCTGGCTCATTCAATACCCCTCTTAGAGACCGTGCCGCAAATTAAACATATTTCAGACACAGCTAACCTATTTCTACAATGTCAACAACTTATTCAAAAAAGGACTACTCCCTTTTTCCTTGGACATATTAGAGCACATTCAGGATTACTGGGACCTTTAGTACAAGGTAATTGAACAGCTGACATGGCAACAAAAACCATAGCCACAGTCACTACAGACAATTTACAACAAGCACAAAAAGCACATGCCTTACATCATTTAAATGCCCAGACCTTAAGACTTATGTTTAAAATTACTAGAGAACAGGCCCGACAAATAGTTAAACAATGTGCTAACTGCATAACTTATTTACCCGTTCCTCATCTAGGAGTTAACCCTCGAGGGCTCATGCCCAACGAAATTTGGCAAATGGACGTTACACATCACTCAGAATTTGGCCAACTAAAATATATTCATGTATGCATAGACACCTATAGTGGGTTCATTATTGCGACTCTCCAGACAGGAGAAACCACCAAACATGTCATAGCTCACTTATTACATTGCTTTTCCATCTTAGGTATACCCAAACAAATTAAGACAGACAACGGCCCTGGTTACATAGCCAAAACTTTCCTACAATTCTGCAACACCCTACAAATTAAACATATCGCAGGCATTCCCTACAATCCCCAAGGACAAGGAATAGTAGAAAGGGCCCATCTGTCATTAAAAACTACTATTGAAAAAATGAAAGGGGGGAGCTGGTACCCCGTGAAGGGTACCCCCAGAAACATACTTAATCATGCCCTCTTTATCCTTAATTTTTAAAATTTGGACAGTCACGGAAAATCTGCTGCCGACCGTTTCTGGCATCCTGAATCTCAAAAACAGTTTGCAATGGTTAAATGGAAAGATCCACTCGATAATTCATGGCATGGCCCTGACCCAGTTTTAGTTTGGGGAAAAGGCTCAGTATGTATTTTCTCACAAAAAAATGATGCAGCCAGATGGCTGCCCGAAAGATTGGTAAGACAAATAAACCATAACCATTGTCAGTCCAGGAAAACAATCCTCCCTGAGAAGTTTCTTCCCTTTTGTTTTTCAGAAAATGAAGCCCAACATGAGATTCCTTTGGAAAATAATCTTTTTATATAACATAGTGACAGTCTGGGCAGGTTTTGATGACCCTCGTAGAGCAATAGAACTAATACAAAAGCAACACGGCCAGCCTTGTGACTGCAGCGGGGGACAAGTATCTGAACCTCCATCAGACAGGATCTCCCAAGTGACCTGCTCGGGCAAGACAGCTTATTTAATGCCAAACCAACAATGGAAATGTAAGTCAACCCCAAGAGACACCTCCCCTAGCGGGCCACTCCAAGAATGCCCCTGTAGTTCTTTCCAGTCCTCTGTACACAGTTCTTGCTACACCTCATATCAACAATGCAAATCCGGCAATAAAACATACTATATGGCTACATTATTACAAACACAAACTGGAGGTACCAGTGACATACAAGTATTAGGATCCACCAATAAACTTGTACAATCTCGTTGTAACGGCCAAAAAGGACAACCTGTTTGCTGGAGCACTACAGCCCCGATCCACATCTCTGACGGGGGAGGCCCATTAGACACCACAAGAATTAAAACTGTTAGAAAAAGCTAGAAGAAATTCATAAAGCCCTATATCCTGAAATTCAATATCACCCTTTGGCCCTGCCTAAGGTTAGAGATAACCTTATGATCGATGCTCAAACTTTTGATATCCTTAATGCTACTTACAACTTACTCCAAATGTCCAATACAAGCCTTGCCCACGATTGTTGGCTTTGTTTAAGAATGGGTCCCCCTACTCCTCTCGCTATATCTAATTTTTCATTATCCTATGTCAATTACTCGGGTGAGTCCTTGGTCAATAACTCCTGTCCAATTATTTCTCCCCTCTTAGTTCAACCAATGAAGTTTTATAATTCCTCTTGCCTCTTTTCACCCTCTTACAATAGCACTGAAGAAATCGATCTAGGCTACGTTGTATTCAACAACTGTACCTCCATATCAATGTCACCAGCCCCTTGTGTGCTATAAATGGCTCGGTTTTCCTCTGTGGAAACAACATGGCATATACTTATCTACCCACAAATTGGACAGGGCTTTGTGTTCTAGCCACTCTTCTCCCCGACATTGATATCATCCCTGGAGATGAACCTATCCCCATCCCCGCTGTTGAGCATTTTATATATAGACCAAAACGGGCCATACAATTTATTCCCTTGTCAACTGGACTGGGAATCACCACTGCATTTATAACAGGAGCTACAGGCCTAGGAGTCTCACTAACCCAATATACTAAATTATCCAGTCAATTAATTTCAGATGTACAAACCTTATCCCGTACTATACAAGATCTACAAGATCAGGTAGACTCATTAGCTGAAGTAGTTCTCCAAAACAGAAGAGGTCGAGACTTAATAACAGCAGAACAGGGAGGGATCTGTTTGGCTTTACAGGAAAGATGCTGTTTTTATGCTAACAAATCTGGGGGCCGGGCGCGGTGGCTCAAGCCTGTAATCCCAGCACTTTGGGAGGCCGAGACGGGCGGATCACGAGGTCAGGAGATCGAGACCATCCTGGCTAACACAGTGAAACCCCGTCTCTACTAAAAAATACAAAAGACTAGCCAGGCGAGATGGCGGGCGCCTGTAGTCCCAGCTACTCGGGAGGCTGAGGCAGGAGAATGGCGTAAACCCGGCAGGCGGAGCTTTCAGTGAGCTGAGATCTGGCCACTGCACTCCAGCCTGGGCAAGAGAGCCAGACTCTCCCCCAAAAAAAAAAAAAAAAAAAAACCAAAAAAAACAAATCTGGGATCGTCAGAGATAAAGACCTTACAAGAAGAGCTAGAAAAACGCAGAAAAGACCTGGCCGCCAATCCGCTTTGGACTGGACTCCACGGACTTCTCCTTTATCTCCTACCATTTTTGGGTCCTTTACTTACCCTTCTACTCTTCCTCACTCTTGGGCCTATAATCTTTAATAAGCTTATGGCATTCGTCAGACGACAAATCGAGGCCTTCCAGGCCAAGCCTATACAGGTCCATTACCATCTCCTTGAGATGTCTGAACATGGTGAGTCTTACCTGCCCTTATAAGACCACCTCCCCTGTGGGCTGAACTGGACAGTCAATGACGGGTAAGAGGACACCACCCCCAATTGAGCCTAAGACAGGAGGGCCGCCCCTGCTGCTGCCTAATCCCATGACGGGCTTAAAAGGTGGGAATGAGTTGACCCAACCTAAGACAGGCGCAGTTCCCGAGGGGCTATCTCTCATCATGAAATAATAAAAAAAGGGGGACCTGTCTGCAGCCGCGTGGCCCGGCCATAGCGATAATAACTGACGACTGATGCCTGAGCTCTATACGTTTCCACTCTATGCCTCCTCCCTAGATTTACTTTCTTCCCTGTTCTGCTGTCCCATACGCCAGTACAAAATGGCGGTCTTCCGGGTTCTTCACCACCCATCTTCCCGCTCCCGGGAAGATGATCAACTTACAGTGCAGGCGCCATCCCGCGCCCGGGAAAGTTACCAGCCCCGAAGGCGCAGGCGCAACATGACATCCGACCGAAGAAACCGTAACCTACCTGGCCACGCCCACCGCAGGGCCACCATCATTGCCCTGTCCCAACCTCCGCCCCTGCTGGTCTATATAAGGCATTACGCTGCCACCAATAAACGAGACTTGATCAGGATACTGTCTTGTCTCCATTTCTCATGTCTCTTGTCCCCCCGCGTTCCCACTCCCTCTTCTAGGGTCTACATTGACGATCCCGCGGGACGGGACAAGCTATGATCATGCCACTTGCACTCCAGCCTGGGCGACAGAGTGAGGTCGTCTCTCAAAAAAAGAAAAAGTGAAAAAGAAAAGAAGAGACACATATATACGTGTGAAAAAAATTGGAAAATTGCTGACAATCATACAATGTTACACATAAAGGTGACTTTAGAGACCTGTGTAGTGATAAGAAATAGAGCACGAGAGGGCCACTGGGTTGGCTCTCCAGGCTGCTGCAGGATTCCTTCCTCCATCAAAGGTGCTTAGACCAGATTTTTTTTTTTTTTTTTTTTTTTTGACAGGGTTTTGCTCTGTTGCCCAGGCTGGAGTGCAGCAGCAGGATCTTGGTTTGCTGCAACATTGACCTCCCAGGCTCAGGCGATCCTCCCACCTCAGCCTCCTGAGTAGCTGGGACAGCAGGTGCGCACCACCATGCCCAGCTGATTTTTGTATTTTTTGTAGAGATGGGATTTTGCCACGTTGCCCAGGCTGGCCTCAAACTCCTGAGCTCAAGCAATCCATCCGCCTTGGCTTCCCAAAGTGCTGGGACTACAGGCGTGAGCCACCGCACCTGGCCAGACTAAATGTTTTTAAGGCCTAAGATTCCAATGCTGTGATTTCATCCAATTGCCCTAATTGGAATAGGAAAGTGGGGCTGGAGAGGGGAGAAGGAGGGTGTGGGGAAGAGAAGTAGAGCAAGGTCACTTTATGTAGTTCCAAATAAGGAATCATATTCTTACCTTCCTCTAGGTGGAAAGTGGCATCCTGCATTCTCTTCTTGTCCTTGGCCTCATCTCTGCTATGGGCTGTGCCAGCTCTATCCGCTCTTTCTCACCACCAGGCCTTCAGAATGCTGTTTGAAATGTGCCCACTGGTCTGGGCGTGGTGGCTCACATCCATCATCCCAACACTTTGGGAGGCCAAGGTGGACAGATCACCTGAGGTCAGGAGTTTGAGACCAGCCTGGCCAAATGGCAAAACCCTGTCTGTACTAAAGATACAAAAATTAGCCGGGCATGGGAGGCTGAGGCAGGAGAATCACTTGAACCAGGGAGGCAGAGTTTGCAGCGAGCCAAGATCTCGACACTACACCCCAGCTTGGGCGACAGAGTGAGACTGTCTCAAAAAAAAAAAAAAAAAGAAAAGAAAAAGAATGTGCCCCCTCTAGCGTGCCTCCCAGGTCACTCAACTGATGGAAAATGGAATCCTACTACCGTGCAGGGCTCTAGAAATTCAGCAGCGTTTCATACATGGCATCCGCCATCAAGGAAGTCACAGGAAGGTGGGAGGAAGACACAGATAGCCACAATATAAAGTTTAGCCAAGTTCTCTTTTGCAAGGCTAATCATAGATGAGGGGATGCACCCTAGAGCCACCAATCCGGCCCCTTCCGCCCCTGGCGGAAGCATTAATGACACTGAAATGTGTCAGAGCTCCCACCAGCCCCCTCTTCACTGCTACTCTTTCCTCCCAGGCAAAACAGGAACCACAAACCCCAGCTTCCTCTTGCAGAGTGGAAGGCTGTGGCTTGTAGGGGAGACGGAAATGGCTGAGGTGCGCATACAAGACCTGAGTCACTTGAGCTGCTATTGCCGCATGTCTCCTCCCTCTCCCCCGCCCCAGTTCTAAGGTCTCCTGCTCTCACTTTGACTTTTCTGGCCTCTCCCTTACCCTTTATTTCCAAATGTGCACCTGAGTCCCCTGTGTGATGTACACCCATTTCCCGGGCTGCAGTGGGGGCTGCTGTGGGCATCAAGGGCCGTGGGCAGGGCCTGGGGTGGGGACACATCAGGGAGACACAGGGGAAGAGGAAGTGCCTTCGGTCCTCGGGAAGATTGGCTTGTCTTGGTGGGTGGGGACGGTCATTATCAGCTTTCTGGACACACAGACACAGACAGACAGGATGGACTTCCTCCGGCTACACCTCCCTGGGCTGCACCAGGCCTTGAGGGGGGCACTGGTGAGAGGGGCAGACAGCTGCCAGAGACTTGCACCCCATTCCCTGGGGCCTCACCTCCGGGCACCTCCCCTGGGGCCTCACCTTTCCCTTCCTCCTTCTGATCTCCTCAGACTGGAGATTGCTTTCTCAGGATCAGGCAGACTCCTGGCCTAATCTTTTCTGAATTTTAGGCCCCACCTCCACCCATGCGTCCTCGTACCCCTAATCGATGCCTTTTCTGGCTCCTTCTGCAAGTCCTCTTCTCTTCTCAGATATCAGTACCCTGTTCCTTAACCTGGGCTCCTCCAGCCAGGACCCCCAGGGAAAGGACTGGGACTCCCCTTAATGCCTCTCCCCTCCCTCTTTTTTCCTAGGATTCCCTCGGCACCTTTGTCTCCTACCTCTTGGGCGATGCAGTCCCCACTGTAGAGCGGGAGGCACAGGCGGCTGAGGAACTGGGGGCAGTGGCCATGGGAAGGACAGGGAAGATTGTAGAGGAGGAAGCCCAGGAGGCCCTGGAGGGCCTTAGAGGCAGCCAAAACGAGGGGGCTGGAGGGCTGAAAGGGCCTGGAGAGGACAGAAGACGTGAAGCGGGGAGCTCAGCTGTGGAACAGACCTGGGGCTGGGGAGATGGCAGCTCCCATGGGTCCCAAGCAGAGAGGCAGGACAGTGGGGCTGGTGAGACAGCCAAGGCTGCCAGGTGCCAGGAGCCAAGTGCCCCCTTGGAGGCCAGAAAGAAATCCAAGGCAGGGTCTGGGGCTTGCCAAGAGAGGAGCGGCCAAGCCCAGGAGAGGCAGGAGCCCGATGAGCAGGAAGTGAACAGAGAGGAGAGGCTGAGAATCTGGGAACAGGAGGAGGAGGAGGAAGAGGTCAGGGCAAGAGAGCCAGGAATGGCCAGAGGGGCGGAGTCAGAGTGGACCTGGCACGGGGAGCCAGAGGGGAAGGCTGGTGCTGGCGGGCTAAAGGCGGCGGGGGACAACTGGGAGACGGAGCAGGGGGTCAGGAAGGCAGATGCAGGGGAAACTGAGGAGCCTGGGGCCAAAGGGGCTGGGAAAGGAGAAGAGGTGGTGGTGGTGGAGAAGGCCTGTGAAAGCACTAGGGCATGGGGGGCGTGGGGCCCAGGGGCAGAGCCTGAGGACTGGGGAATCTTAGGCAGAGAGGAGGCCAGAACAACCCCAGGCAGGGAAGGGGTGAGGACAATTTTAGATGGGGAGGAAGCCAGGACGATCTCAGGTGAGGAGGAGGCCGAGACAGCCTCAGGCGGGGAGGAGGCTGGGACAGCCCCGGCCAGGGAGGAGGAGGCCAGGACAGCCTCAGGCGGGGAGGAGGCCGGGACAGCCCCGGCCAGGGAGGAGGAGGCCAGGACAGCCTCAGGAGGGGAGGAGGCCTGGACAACCTCAGGCAAAGAGGAGGCTGACCTCCCGGGAGTCAGACAGACAGAATATGGAACAGTCCCAGGAGAAAGGCTCCTAGAGGCTACTGGAAAAGTCTGGGTCCTAGAAGAGGAGGGAGATGAGGAGAGAGAGGCTGAGGTGAGCCCTTTTCCCAAACAGGCCCAGGTCCTGGGCACTGAGAGAACAGAAGAGGCTGCTGAGAGCCAGACAGCAGGGAGGGAGGCTGTGGGAGGCCAGGAAGCAGGGGAGAGCTTTGAGGGTCAGGCGGACCTGTGTGGGAAGGAGGCTGAGATGAGATGGGACTTGGAGATCAGGGCCGACTGGGCCAGGCTGGAGGAGCTGGTACAGGCAGAGGAGGCCCAGGAGGAGAGAGGGAGTGGCAGGGATCTAGCGGCTGAGCTGCCCTCAGATGGAGAGGCTGAAGGCGCTGCTGACTTGGAGGTAACTCCAGAGGCCAGGCCTGAGGAGGAGCTCACAGGGGAGGAGAGCGAGGTGGCCCAGACTAGCTGCGGCCCACTGGGGGTGGAATGGGGTGGCCTCACACACAGGGTCACCAAAGGCCAGGGACCTGAGCTGATGGGAGGCACCCAGACCCCAAGTAAGCAACCCGAGGAAAGAGAGGCAGGTGAGGAGGAACTCCAGGGAGTTCTGGCCCGGAGCAAAGAGGAGCAGGAGAGGAGCCTGGAGGCAGGTCCCAGGCACGCGGAGTCTGTAAAGCCCGAGGCCTCTGAGGCCTTCCCAGGAGCCTGGGAAAACCGCACGAGAAGGGACATGGAGAGAGGAAATACCCAGGAGGATGCGGCCAATGGCGAGCAGTGGGAGGAGGAGGCTGCGGGAGGCCAGACCCCGGTGGCTGAGGCCGAAGGAGACCAAGAGTCTGAACTATCAGAAGTCCCAGAGGCAGGCGGGGAGGGGCCGACAACCCAGGACACGGGATGTGGAATTGAGGAGGGAGAGGCATCTGTCTCAGAGAACCAGGATCTGGATGGAAGCACAGGAGCAGACGCAGGGCCTGGCCTGTCACTGGGAGAGGCCTATGCCAGAGAAACCAAGGATGGGGAGGCGGAGGCTGACAGAACACCCAGGAGAGACTGGAGGCTGCAGGCGGTGGCTGTGGGCCTCCAGGACCGTGAGGACGCACAGACTGGCACTGTGGCTGCTGAGGTTATGGGGGGTGAGGTGGACCCAGACGTCAGCGCTGCTGGTGGTGGTGAAGCTTTGGAAGGGGCACTTGGGCAAGGCTGGGACTTGAAAGAAAGGGAAGAGACAGCAGCAGGAGAGCATGCAGGTGGGCAGGAATTTGGCCTGGAGGGCTCAGCAGAGGAAGAGGTGGCAGGCAGAGGTGGCCAAGCAGAGGCTTTTGAGGCCAGGGAGGGAGGACCTGGGGGAGGGCGGGTAGAGGCAGAGGAATCTGCAGGTACAGAGGACAGCTGTGGGCTGGATCACGTGGGCTCCCAGACATCGAGGGCAGATGGGATGGGAGCCATGGTGGAGGCGCTGTTGGAAGAAAAGGCTGTCGGATGGCAGGAAAGAGAACAGAGGGAAGACAGTGAGGGGCGGCGTGGGGACCACCACCCTGAGGGAGAGGCACCAAGGCTCCTTGATGCAGAGGGTCTCATGGTGACCGGGGGCTGGAGGGCAGAGGCCAAGGAGACTGAGCCAGAAAGCCTGGAAGACGTCAGGGGCCAGGAGGAGTGGCCAACACACCAGGCCCCTGCAGAAGCTGCGCCAGGGTCAGTCGGGGAAGCCGAGACGGCTGAGGCCACAGGCAGTGCCAGAGGAGGTGCTGCCAGCAGCTGGAGTGAGGTGAGGGCTCTTAGTGGGGTCTGGGGGGGAATGAGTGGAATCCCGAAGCCGGTCCCATGGTCCTCTGTGCTCCCTTTCCTGCAGGCCCCACTCCCTGGGTCCCTCCTAGACGTCTCTGTCCCAAGGAGCCGCGTGCACCTCTCGAGAAGCTCCTCACAGCGTCGCTCCCGGCCCTCTTTTCGTCGGACTCCAGCCCTGGAGCAGCAGGAAGAGCCCCCAGCCCCCAATCCTCCTGAGGAGGAACTGTCGGCCCCTGAGCAGAGACCCCTCCAGCCAGAGGAACCCCCAGAGCCAAGCCCTCTGAGGCATGATGGGACCCCGGTGCCAGCCAGGAGAAGGCCCCTGGGACATGGGTAGGCACAGGGCAACTCGGCTGGGGTGGGGAAGAGACCGTGGGCACCTGGGAACCCGTTCTTATGGGCCTGACTTCTGCCTTCAGGTTTGACCTCATGCACCCCGGCATGATGCAGGAGCTGCAAGCCCGTCTGGGCCGGCCTAAGCCCCAGTGACTGAAACCCGGCGCTCTGGGAGCCAGGCCCTGAGTGGGGGCCAGAAGTCTCGCTCCGACACCGCTGAGCCCTGCTCCCTCTGCCACCGTGGACACATCCTCTCCACCCTCTGGGCCTCAGCGTCTTGATGTATCATTCATGGAGCAGGCAAAACCAGACGTCTGGGAAGACCTTGACTTAAGGAGTCTGATTCTCCAACACAGGCTGGTGGACCACCTACTCCACTGAGACCACGTCTCAGGGTGCCTGCCCTGGTTCCTCTCCAGCCTGAGTCAGCTATCTGGACTGCATGGAGGCTGGGCACGGGGGCTTATGCCTGTCACCCCAGAGCTTTGGGAGGCCAAGGTGGGAGGAGTGCTTGAGACCAGGAGTTCGAGATCAGCCTGGGCAACATAGCAAGACCCCCATCTTTTAAAAGCAAAATAAAAAAATAAAGACTGCAAGGAAGACTGAGAGGGAACAGCGACCATTCTCCTTACAGGCCTCCCTCTCTGACTTCCGCTTCCCAACCCAACTCCCTGCACCAAGACCCTCAGAACTGAGCAGGGGTAACACAAACCTCTGGAGTCGCATCCAGGCCAAAGGAAGGTGGTTAGGGGGCTTAAGGAGCACTGCTCAGAATCAAAGACGAGCTGCCTTGAGCTTCCAAAATGGTAGCTCGGCCTCAGGATGCCACTGGTTACTATGGCAACTGCCTGGCGGAGCAGGACATAGTAGGGGAAGATGGGCCAGGGACCCCAAAAACGTAGGAGCAGAGAGGGGTTCAGGATGGCTAGAGGTTGCTGACCCCATTCCAGGCTGCCCTGCCCTCTGGGTGTCAGCAGCCCTTCCCAGAAGATAAGCGGAGGCCAGGGGTGGATGAGAGTGCTTTATTGGGCACCCAGCATGGGGGCTCGGCCCAAGGAGGACCAGCAGGTTCTGAGACAATAAATAAACCATCATCTCTCTAACAATAAATAAATATCCAAGAAATAAATAGCTGGCAAGGACCAGAGGGGCTTTCAGTTACTGGGTAGGGCCGGGGGCAGGGGGCTGGAAGAGCCCTCCCTTGTCCAACGCTGATGATGCGGAGGCTGCCCTGATGCCAAGACTCCAGTCCTAAAGTACTAAAGGGTGAGGGGCAGGGGGCTAAGAAGCCACCCAATCAGGGCTGGGGGCCCAATGTTGGGAACCCCAAGGGCCAGACTGAGTGCCCGGCCTTGGACAGCAGCAGCAAGTCCCGCACGGCCCGAGATAAGACGAGCTCCAAGGAGTGCAGCAGGCGGTAGGTGGAGAGGAGTTGGGGCCAGGACACCTGGGCCGGCCCCTGTGAGGCATTGCCCAGTGCCCCTGGGAGCAGCCCCTTCCTCTCTTCCTCCTCCTCCTCCTCTTCCTCCTCCTCCTCCGGGAGGTGGAATCCCGAAGCCAGCACCTGTGAGGAGAGGCCATGGGTTAGGGAGGGGCCAGGCCGAGAACCTGGGCGAATCCTCATTCCCTATTTGTGCCCAGCGGCTTCTAATGACATCAGTGACCACAAGGTCATGATTTCCCCGGACATTCCCTACTTGATCTTCCATGATGTCATCCACTAACGCGTCTCACCTCATCTTTCAGTTCGAGAAAATGGAAGTCAAGGAGCAAGAGGATGCTCACAGAGCTAGATCGCCCCAAGGACTGCCCCGAGGGGTGGGTTCAGGAAGTTTCTGCTGTTAAGGTTGCTCTTGGGTTGGGTCAGCAACAGGCAGAGGGTGACATAGCTCAGATTCCCTGCTGCTTGCCCATCCTTTCTCTCTCTCTCTCTGTCTTCCTTTCTTGAAGTCCTGCTCTGCCGCCCAGGCTGGAATGCAGTGAGGCGATCACGGCTCACTGCAACCTCTGTCTCCTCAGTTTAAGCAATTCTCTCCTACCTCAGCCTCCCGAGTCATTGGGATTACAGGTGCCCACCACCACGCCTGGCTAATTTTTGTATTTTTAGTAGAGATGGGGTTTTACCCTGTTGGCCAGGCTGGTCTTGAGCTCCTGACCTCAAATAATCTACCTGCCTTGGCCTCCCAAAGTGCTGGGATTCCAGGCGTGAGCCACCACGCCTGGCTCTGCTACTTGCATTTTCTATTCTCATTTCATTAAGTGTAAAATTCTGATTTCCCTTTGAAAGGTTCTGGAAGATCTGGGTGACATCAGAGAATCACAGGGAGAAGGGAAACAGGAGGCAGACGCTGTGCTGGGCGCTCAGGACAAATCCCGAGTGACCTCACAGCCCAATGGCCTCCTGTTCAAGATGGAGCCCCAGGAGAATGCCAAGATTGAGGGGCGGCACCAGGGCCTGGTGTGGCTGCACGCGCCCGCGCACACACACGCACACACTCACACACATACTCATTCTCACAACGCAGTCACACTCATTCCCATACAGTCACATTCACACAAAACACATTCATGGCTGAGCACAGTGGCTCACGCCTGTAATCCCAGCACTTTGGGAGGCCGAGGCGGGCAGAGCACGAGGTCAGGAGTTCAAGACCAGCCTGGCCAACATGGTGAAACTAAAAATACAAAAAAATTAGCCAGGCGTGATGGTGCAGGCCTGTAATCCTAGCTACTTAGGAGGCTGAGGCAGGAGAATTGCTTGAACCAGGGAGGCAGAAGTTACAGTGAGCTGAGCGTGCCACTGCACTCCAGCCTGGGCGACAGAGTGAGACTCAGTCTCAGAAAAAAAAAAAAATTCGTTCACATACCCACACAGTCACACTCACACTCATCCTCACACACTGACACACCTATACCCAAACTCTCACCCACACACCTCACTTTGACACAACACTCACATTCACACACCCACCCACACACTCACACACTCTTACACTCACAGACCCACACACACTCTCACGCTCACAGACCCACACACTCACACACTCTTACACTCACAGACTCACACACTCACACACTCTCACACTCATGGACCCACACACTCACACACAGTCCGACGCTCACACTCATACAGACCCCCCCACACTCACAGTCACACCCACACACTCTCACACTCACAGACCCACACACAGGCTCATAGTCACACACTCATATACTCACAGACCCACATACACACAGTCACACTCACACTCATACAGACCCACACACACACAGTCATGCTTACACTCATACAGACCCACACACAGTCACACCCATGCTCACACTCACAGACCCACACACTCACACACGCTCACACTCATGGATCCACACACTCACACACAGTCACACTCACACTCATACAGACACACACACAGTCACGCCCACATACTCTCACACTCACAGACCCACACACAGTCACACACACACTAATGGACCCACATAGTCACATTCATACAGACCCCCACACACACACCCATATACTCTCACAGTCACAGAGACCTACACACTCACATACTCACACTCATGGACCCACACACACACAGTCACGCTCACACTCATACAGACCCCCCCACAGTCACACCCACACACTCTTACACTCACAGACCCACACACACTCACAGTCACACACACACACTCACGGACCCACACACAGTCACGCTCACACTCATACAGACCCACACACACAGTCACACCCACACATTCTCACACTCACAGACTCACACACTCACACACTCTCACAGTCACACACTCACGGACCCACACACACACACAGTCATGCTCACACTCATACAGACCCACACACACTCACTGTCACACCTACACTCTCACAGTCACACACACACTCTCACACTCACAGACCCACACACTCACACTCTTACAGTCACACTCTCACACTGTTGGACCCACACAGTCACAGTTATGCTCACACTCTCACACACACACTCAGAGCATGGGATCACTGGATGAGCCAGTGAGTCTCCTTTCCCACGTGGTCTGGGGTGGCCGGGCTTTACCTGGAAGCGCAGGTGCCGCTGCAGATCACGGAGGTCCAGCCTCATGGCCCACAGCTGCATCCTCTCCGTGTTGGTCCAGCGGCCCTGGGTCCCCAGCCCTCCCAGCAGGGCACGGAAGGGCTGAAGCGTGGTGGAGAGGAAGCAGAGACGCTCCAGGTCCTGAAGGGAAGGCAGATGGTCAGGAAAGGCCCACAGACCAAGGATGGCCATGTCACACCCACCCCCTCCCTATCCAGGTCTCCTTCCCATTCCACACTCCAGCCTCCAGTCTATCCCCATAGCACTTCCCCACCTCAGCCCAGCTCACCCCATTCCTTCCATCTCCACTGTCTGGGATATTTGCCCCATCTCCTTTTCCAGCCTCCCTTTCCCTCCCATGCCCATGATCTTCTCTAACCCACCCCTCTCAGTCCCTGAAGCACTCTCGTTCTGCAGCCCTGTTCCCTTCTCTCCTTCACCACCCCATCATACCTCCTGCCCACGCGTTTCCATCCCATCTTCAGCCCCATTCCCCTTCCTAATCCCAACTCTGTCCTTCCTCCATGTGCCCAGACTCACTCTTTCAATTTTTCCATCCCATCTCCAACCTCATTCCCAACCCCATCCATTCCCTTCCCCACCAGCAACTCCCATCCCTTCTCCATCCCCTGCTTAATGTTCACCCTCATCTCCAACCTTCTCATCTCTAGCTATCCGCATTCTCACCCCCAGTGCCACCTCCACCCACCCTCCATGCTGCTGTGATCTCTCTCCAGTCTCATCCCGGTCCCATGCCTGCCACGTTTCACGTCCAGCTCCACTCTGACCTCTTCCCAACCCCACTTCCTTATTCCGGCTTCATCTTTATTGTTTGTTTGGTTTTTTGTTTGTTTTGAGATGGAGTCTTGCTCTGTTGCCCAGGCTGGAGTGCAGTGGCGCGATCTCATCTCACTGCCACCTCTGCCTCCTGGGTTCAAGCAATTCTCCAGCTTCAGCCTCCTGAGTAGCTGGGATTTCAGGCACACACCACCATACCCGGCTAATTTGGTATTTTTAGTAGAGACGGGGTTTCTCCATGTTGGTCAGGCTGGTCTTGAACTCCTTATCTCAGGTGATCTGCCCTCCTTGGCCTCCCAGAGTGCTGGGATTACAGGCATGAAGCGCCACGCCTGGCAGTTTATTTATTTTTCTGAGACAGGGTCTCCCTCTGTCCTCCATCCTGGAGTCCAGGATTATAACTCACTGCAGCCTCCAACTCCTGAGCCCAACCAATCCTCCCATGTCAGCCTCCTGAGTAGCTGGGACCAAAGGTGTATACCACCATGCCTGGCTAACTCTTAAATTCTTTTGTAGAGACAAAGTCTCGCTATGTTGCCCAGGCTAGTCTTGAACTCCTGGCCTCATGCAGTCCTTCCACCTTGGCCTCCCAAAGTGCTGGGTTTATAGGTGTAAGTCACCGTGCCTGTCTTTCATCTTTATGTCCAATGACATATTCAACATCATCCAGGTTCTATCCCCAATGCATCTCCAGCTCAATCTCCAGCCTCATCTTGCACCCTGGCCCCAGTCTATCACAAGCTTCCCGCCCCATTCCACCAGCCCTCACTCACAGAGAGGCGGTGCCAGGCCTGGAAGGTCAGGGAAACATCGGGGAGCTGCTCTCCCAGGGGCAGAAGGTCCAGGTTCACTCCTGGCAGGTGAGATTCCGCCTGGGGGACAAGGTCTGTTAGTGGGGGCCAGAAGGGATTGGGGGTCTGCCCTTCCCCAGCACCAGCTGCATTTTGGGGACTTACAAAGCGGTGGGCCTGGCCCCGAACCTCGGAGAGCAGCTTCCTGGCGAGATGCAGGCTGACCGTGAACTCCCTCTGCAGCTTCTGCACGCTCAGCTGGGGCCTCCCTGGGGGCCTTGGGAATCCCCAGACACCAGCTTGAACCAGGAGCAAGGGAAGCAGCAACAGGCTGAGCCCTGGAGAGGTGGGGAGAGGGTGGGCGAGACAGGGAGAGAGCTTGAGAACTCGGGAGAAGGAAAGGAACATGCCTTATCTGAGCCTGTGCTAGCTGTGAGCATAATGCAGCCACTTTCACCATCATCATTCCTCTGCCTCCTCAAAACCACAGTGGAGGCCAGGTGCGGTGACTCACGCCTGTAATCCCAACAATTTGGGAGACCGAGGCGGGCGGATCACCTGAGGCCAGGAGTTCAAGACCAGCCTGGCCAACATGGCAAAACCCTGTCTCTACTAAATATACAAAAATTAGTCAGGCATGGTGGTGCATGCCTGTAATCCCAGCTACTCAGGAGGTTGAGGCAGGAGAATCGCTTGAACCCGGGAAGCAGAGGCTACAGTGAGCTGATATAACACCACTACACTCCAGCCTGGGCGACAGAGCCAGACTCCGTCTCAAAAAAACAAAACAAAACAAAACAAAACCCCACGATGCAGCCAGCATGGTCCCCATATGGCATCTCTGTATGGAGTGCCCACTTTTGCAAAAAGGCCAGAAACCTGATCCTGTTTTTTTTTTTTTTTTCTTTTGAAACAGAGTTCTGTTCTATCACCCAGGCTGGAGTATAGTGATTTGATCACAGCTCACTGTAGCCTTGAACTCCTGGGCTCAAGTGATCTTTTCGCCTCAGCTTCCCGAGCAACTGGGACCAAAGGGACACACCACTGTGCCTAACTGTTTCTATTTTTTTTGTAGAGACAGGGTCTCACTACATTGCCCAGGCTGGTCTTGAACTCCTGGCCTCAAGAGATCCTCCCGCCTCAGCCTCCCAAACTGCTGGGATCACAGGCATGAGTCACTGTGCCGGGACAGAGGCTGGATTTTTGACCCCCATAAACTCCCTTGGCCAAATGCCTTTTTCAGTGAGCAACCTGCACAACCACATGTGGCAGCCTCAGTGCTATTGTTCTCCCTATTTTGCAGATGAGGTTCAGTGAGGTTGACTTGCCCAAGGTCAAATAGCCAGAAGGTGGGAAACCAGGACTGGATTCCAGATTTTTCCAAATGCAGGGCCCATGGGTTTTCCCCAGAGAATGCAGAGGGAGGCAGCCACCTGCCCCAGGAGTGGGCACACCATGTTCTGCCAAGGATTCTTTGGGCTCAGTCAAGCAGCTCTGATGGCTTGAACTGGCCATGAGGTCCCCAGGGATGGGTTAGCAATGCCGGAGGCTCTATCCCAGGGAATCAAAAGGACAGGTTGGCCCAGTTTCCATCACGGCAGGTGGATCCTGGCAGGGTAACCTGCCTGGGGCGAATCCACAGTGTGGGAGCTTTTTTTTTTTTTTTTTTTTTTAAGACAGAGTTTCACTCTGTTACCCAGGCTGGAGTGCAGTGGCGCGATCTTTGCTCACTGCAACCTTCATCTCCTGGGTTAAAGCAATTCTCCTGCCTCAGCCTCCTGAGTAGCTGGAATTACAGCCATGCGCTACCATGCCGGGCTAATTTTTATTATTTTTAGTAGAGAGGGGTTTTGCCATGTTGGCCAGGCTGGTCTCCAACTTCTGACCTCAGGTGATCCACCTGCCTTGGCCTCCCAAAGTGCTGGGATTATAGACATCAGCCACTGCGCCCAGCCCAGAATGGCTGAATTCCGAGTGTGCTTCCTGACCTGTGTTTTCCTGGAAAGAGGGGCAGCGGATGGGCGCTCTAGGAAGAGGGCAGCATTCATCAATTTCCCCCTCAGGGAGAGGAAATCTAGCAAGCACAAGAGTTACACAATTCTCCTCGAAACACAAACCAAAACTGGCCCGAAGTCCATCCTACTCTCCCTACTCTCCCTGCCTCTTCCCTGTCCTCTCTCAATCTCTAATCCCTGAGCTCTGCTCTTCGAAATGTCCCGATAAAGGTGAAGGGGAGCTTTTAGGGACGTCTACCTCCCTCATGGACTTCTAGATGTAGTGGGCATTGCCTAACCTAAGATCTCTGGCATTCAGACTCCCTGGCTTGGGGGCCACTCGGACCCTCTGACATCCTGGAGACTTAAGGCAGAGTGGGCTTCTTCCTAGCTCAATGTTGGGGACAGGGTGGTGCCCCCAGGCCCTGGTGGATCAAGCCCAACCATAAGTGAGCTGTGCCATCTCCGACCTGAGCTCTGGAGCCCCCAGACCCCCTCCTTACCCTCTGCAGCCGATCCTGGTTCATTGGCTCTGGCCTTTGAAGGTTCTGTCTCCATCCTCCAGCCTTTGGTCCCTACCTGCCCTATGTAGCATGTTACCTTCTCCTCTGCCTACTGCTCTGGTTCTAGCCCCTGAGTTCTGCAGCCACCAGCCACAGATTGGACCTCCTTCTAACATCAGACTAAAGACCTTTGACCCAGTGAGGCTGCTGACATCTTGGTCCCAGCGCCCCACTTGTGCCAGCACTTGTTCTGTTCTTCCTTCAGCCGGCCCCATTCTCAGTCTTAGCCAAGCTGTTTGGCTTCTGCTTATTCACTCCAAACTCTTCATTTATCTGTCTAGACCTGGTCTTTGTCAAATCGCTGGTCCAACCCTCCCCATTCCTGCTAGCCAAGGCTTCCTTCCCATCCTCTGCCCAGCCCTGGGTCAAAACACCACCCCACTGCCCCAGGCCCCCAGCCAGTCACTCCAGCCTCCCCTCCCATCCAGCAGCCAGCCAAATCCTCAGTCTTGGCCAAGTTGCTGCTCTCAGCTCTCGACCCCATGCACCAGCCAAGCTCGTCCATCCTCTGCCCAAACTCAACCAAGCCCCCCATCCCTGGCTTCAAACTCACGCCAGCCAAGGTTGCCTGCCGTCTGGCCCATGGCGGGGCCCGGCCTCTTTGGTCAGCCATCTCCTGGGTAGGGGGGGTCTTATACTGGGGGCTGTGCCCGGTTTCACTTTCCGTCCTGCTTGTACTTTCAGCTTTGTGTTCACTCACTCTTCCCTCTCGCCACCCCTTGCTAAAATGGGGAAATGTAATTTCCCTTCCCGGAGGGGGTGGGAGGTATGATGGGGGGTGACGGGAAGCTGGGGTTTCAGGACACCCAAGCTCCAGACTCACTGCTAAGCTCCCACGGCCAGCTCTCTGCCCTCAGTGCCCCATGCTTGGGTGAGCCATCCAGCCCTATTCACTGGTTGATCCCAGAGTCCCAAATCCCCTCCTGATTCTCAGCTCTGCCACCACCATCCTAGGGTCTACTGTCCTTCCAAAGATGGATGGCCAGGTAAGGGGATTGCCCACCCGAGGGGACTCGGGGTTTTGAGTCATCTGACTCCCTTATGGTTTACCAGATGGCTGAGGAAGGTGGCGCAAAGAGAGTCAGTGCTTAATGGGTGGCTGGGATGCACCCTTGCTTGAGGCCAGGCAGAGGCTCAGTGTGATGGTGGGATTGGAGCTCAGTTTGTAACTAGGATCAGGGCTGGATAAAATTAGGTCCGAGGCCATATCTGGGACCAGGGTTAGGGCTTTTTCCAGGGTCAAGGGCTCTGTCTCCATCTTTAACCAGAGTCAGATATAGGATTTGAGTTCAGTCTATAATCAGGATCAGGGACTCAGTGTACAGCTGAACTCACGGCCTAGTCCCCGGCCAATATCCTGGCTGTGTCTGTGTTTAGGGTCACAGCTATTGGTGACCTGGGGCTTTGCTTGTGGCCTGTAGGGTTGGGTCTAGAGCTTGGTCTTTGGCCAAGGTGCTGACTGGGACTGGGACTCAGTAGGGGGTCCAGGCCTGGGTTGGGATGAGAGCTCAGTCAATGACCAGGATCGGGGCTCAGCTTGTGGCCAGGCTCAGGTTGAGTGAGGTCAGGATCAGCGCTCAGCCAGGCCCAAGAATAATCTTGGTGTTTCTGCTCTGTAGAGGCCATGGTCAGGGCTGGGCCGCATGGACCACAGATCTCCCTTCCAGCACAGCTCCACCCTCAGCCCCGCCCTGGATTTCCCATCTTCAGGGAGAGGATGGGGTTTCTTGGTCTTCCCCGAGAACAACTGCTGCCACTTTCTTTTTAGGACCTGTGGGGTTTCCCTGCCGGGTCCCTGGTGTGAGATAGAAACCAGGGGGGGCTTCCCCTTCCTGCTCTCTGCCTCCTTGGCCTGCCTGGGCACTGCCCACCAGGCCACGTGGGAACAAGTGCGCCAGGGAAATACCAACATCTGCTGAGGGAGCAGCCCCACAGGCCACTGGAGACGGACAGGGAACTGGGGCTGTAGTCCAGACAGGTTTCCCCTGCAGCACCCCCCAGTGGTGGCAGCTCACTCCCCGGCAGCCCATGCAGCTGGGGCTCCCCACAGCGGGTCCTAGAGGCATGCCACCTGCTCACCCCCTTGACCACATGGGGCCTCCCTTTGGCTCTCTCCATGGTCCCTCCCAACCTCTACTGTCACTCAGAACTTCCTTACCTCTCAAATCTTGAACCCTGGCTGGGCAACTTGGCTCTCACCTGTAATCTCAGCACTTTGGGAAACTGAGGTGAGAGGATCCCTTGAGGCCAAGAGTTCCAGACCAGCCTGGCCAAAATAGCAAGACCCCATCTCTATTAAAAACAAAATAGGCCGGGCGCGGTGGCTCAAGCCTGTAATCCCAGCACTTTGGGAGGCCGAGATGGGCGGATCACGAGGTCAGGAGATCAGGACCATCCTGGCTAACACGGTGAAACCCCGTCTCTACTAAAAAATACGAAAAACTAGCCGGGCGAGGTGGCGGGCGCCTGTAGTCCCAGCTACTCTGGAGGCTGAGGCAGGAGAATGGCGTAAACCTGGGAGGCGGAGCTTGCAGTGAGCCGAGATCGCGCCACTGCACTCCAGCCTGGGTGACAGAGCAAGACTCTATCTCAAAAAAACAAAACAAAACAAAACAAAACAAAACAAAACAAAATAAAATAAGGCCAGGAAAGGTGGCTCACGCCTGTAATCCCAGCACTTTGGGAGGCCAAGGTGGGCTGATCACGTGAGGTCAGGAGTCTGAGACCAGCCTGGCCAACATGGTGAAACCCTGTCTCTACTAAAAATACAAAAACTAACCAGGCATGGTGGTGGGCGCCTGTAGTCCCAGCTACTTGGGAGGCTGAGGCAGGAGAATTGCTTGAATCTGGGAGACAGAGGTTGCAGTGAGCCAAGATTGTGCCACTGCCCTCCATCCTGGGCAACAGAGCAAGACTCCGTCTCAAAAAAAAAAAAAAAAAAAAAAAAA